CATCTAATAAAGTACAAACCCATTCCAACCTTGTCACGCCCTCATCGAAACAGTACAAAGCCATTCCAACTCAATGCCATTCCAACTCAATGTCATACTCTCATCATAGTCACTTTCCTCGTCCGAGAGAAAACCAGGAAAACATCCCTATGCATTAGGAAGAAAAACTCAATTGTTTCCCTAAGTGAGTGTTTTTGCTTAACCCAGAAACGTAAAGAGTCCAAAAGGACAAGGGAGAGAAAAATAAACAGTGAAAGATTAAATTTGACCCCTCTCTCTTAAAATACCCTCAGACCCAAAACTAACAAACCCGAGCTAATGCAGAGTAGAAACTGAAGGAAAAAAAAACAAATGGAGGGTAAAGAAGGAAAAATAAAACCATATACTCGTCCAACATTTAAACAATAGGTTTTATAGCTAGGTAAATTTGAGTGCGAGTAAAGTGGTTATACTAAGGTTTGAAATCTCAATATTTGATATACTTTTCGCTTCATCTTTATTGATATAGTATCAGAAGCTGTATGTCAGACAATTTGTGTAAGAGATATCGATGTGTGGGTAAATTAAGTTGATCACAAGCCTTCCAGTCGTTATTTTATTTTATTTTCCTAATATAACACTATGAATTTTTGATACCTCAAACTTTAAATCTCCTTGTGTGTTACTCGTTATTAAACAAATATTCACGTGCATCAATTGCAACTAGGAATTTTGAAGGCATTGAGCAATTCGGGCTGGACTACATTATATTATATGATGACTATATTGACCAATACTTGAAGCCTTGAATTATTCCTACTTGACCCATGTATGAAATGGTTATTTTTTGTTGATATAGCTATCACTCGTGCATGATTAGACCTTTAGAAACCATCTAACTTCGAGCATGATTCACATGTGTCAAAATAGCAACCCATATTGTTCATGTGCCACTGAACTCAATATTATTTTAATAGTCAAATATATACCCAACAAAAAGTGGTCAGATCCTTAAGTGCGAAGTAAAATGATTGGAGCATATATGACATGGTCCAATGTTTTATCTCTTTCCTTGCTTGACTAGGCTCCCGCATAGGCCTAGACTCCCACATAGGCCTAGGCAGTACCCTAAACCGTCTAGGCTCCGTCCGTCTAGGTCTAGAGAGTGCCTAGGGGAGTGGAGATTGGTTATGCAGACTGCATTACTAGACTTTGGCCGTGATTTCCTCTGTTGCTGCCTTCCAAATCCTCTAACCTTCTTTAAACTCTGACCTCCACTAACTACTAACACGTTCCCCAACTCCTCTGACCTTCAACAAAACCTCCTCTGGCAAACAAAAAAAGAAATCTTCCAAGGCCTAGCACCTTGGTGGTAGGTGTAGGCACCAGTTTGGCACCTAGTGATGCACAACGCAGTCAATAACATTGATTCTACTTAAAAAAAGGAAAACGCTTAGGTCTAGGCTCCAATTTTGAGGTCTAGACTGTCTAGCACTTTTTGTAGCATTGGCCTGGTCAAACCTAAACCTATCTCATTGTGTTCATCCTTTACACCTACCACATTATAACTTGATTATGGGTTAGGAGCGTATATAAACTACAACCGTAACTAGCCTGGGGTTAAGTTGGGCTACTCAATTGTATTGGTTTTGGTTAATTGAGTTTATCTATCAATTTAAGAAGTTGAAATTACAAGTAACATTTTTTTGGCAATGCCCATCCAAACTTAAAAGGTGGTAATAAAATTCTAAAAAATTCAAATATAAGCTAAACAATGATGCATATGAACATATTTAATATTTCTAGAAGCATAGATAATTTCATATGTGGATGTTGCTAGTTAGGATAGGTTTACGCATGGTGAAATGAAGGTTAACTCGGACTCAGGATAAAGTTTCTCTAGGTTATGATTTTGAAACCAACTCCAATCTACATTTTTGAACCCCAACAAGGAGCACATTTTTGAAGTTGGGTTCAAAAATCGGCTTGGTCTTACCCAACCTTAAATAGCATGGTTAGAACAAAGGTCCTCCATTATACTCATCCTTAAAAATAAAGGGGTCTTTTAGATTATTAAAAAGCTTTTAAACCATTTTGGAACAACATATTTGATACAGTCCTTGTGACTAAATGTTCCTTTGCCCAATATCTATGTTAATAATGAGAGTTGTAAAGATGATGGTTCCTTACATCTGACATGGGGGGAGCAAGTTAACTTTCATGCATTGTGTCTACTATGATTTCTCACTTCAACTAGATTCTTTCCTCATATTAGAGGCAACTGGTTGAAGGAATTACAAGTCCTTAAAAGATTAGCAACTTTAAGACCCGTAATTTACATATTAATGATATGAAATTCTTTTTCATAATAATTTACTCTACATAACATCTTCAATTTTAATATAGAGGATGAAAAGATTATGGGCTGTTTATTTTGCACTTAAATAAGTTGGGAGAACTGAAAATGACTCTCTTAGGCTCTTTTAGTGGTTTGACTCCGCAAAGTGTGTATTGAACTGTCTAGAAGCACTTTGGGGATCCTATTGTACTTGTCACGTAGGAATACCCCATGAAATTGTCTTTGATGGCAAAAAGGTTTGGGAAAAAAATATAGATGGTGGAGAATGTGAAAAAAGCTTTTCTACTATTATTATTTCACTAATTTTGAATGATTCTATAGCTTTAGAATTTCCAATAAATAAAAGTACAGGATAATCCAAAGATCTTGAAATCTCAATTAGACGAGCATCACATATTCTCTTCTAAGCAAGGTTTTAAATATCGGTTATCGGGGATTTATCGGACGGCCAAAATCCTTATCGGATAGCGGAAATCGGGGATATATCGGGGATAAGTACTATTTATCGGAGTGATATACTGGATGATGTGTATATATAATATAACAATTAAAAAATGTAATCTAATCATGCTTAATGAAATATAAACATACCAAAATGTAAATCATCATGTTTAGAATCATTAACTAATTGTAGAAAGCGAAACTTGCATCATAGCCTTGAAAAAATATAATGTTAGTCAAAATTGGCCGATAATCCCGATAATCCCGATAAAAAAGTCTTACTTATCGGCCGATAAGTGCCGATAACGCCGATAAATCGCCGATAAACCTAGAAAAACGATAACCGATTAAAAATCCAATTTATCCTAGCGGAGAGCTCCCAAATCCGATAACTCGGCCGATAATATCGATTATCGCCCGATATTTAAAACAGTGCTTCTAAGTACCTTGAGATTCCGAAGTGCATAGAATCTTGGATGCAAGCAAGGATGAGTTCAGGATTGTTCGGCTGGGAGACTTAGTGTTACGAATGAGCAAATTAAGTCAACTTTGTTGTCAATTAAACCATCTTTTATTTGTTGATTGCAAAAAGATAGTCCTCCTTAAATTTAAAGATACAAAGAATCTAATATAACTCAATTCAAATATCCCAGTAAGTTAAAAAAAACTCGATTTGAACACTCTCAAATACACTTTGATCCTCGCCCTTCGCACTCAAAACAACAAAGTGTTTATATAAATTTCCTGAAATTACGAATATAATAGTAAGACATGTTTAATAATGATTGGAACTCACGTCTCTTTAGAACCACCCGGTGGTTCTCAATCATAGATGAGTGAGTGCAATGACTTTACTGCCCCCTACCCCTCTCATCGATGATGCAGAACCTTGAAATCATAAATGTAACTTGTTTTTTAAATTATTACATAATAATGTTTTTCAGATATTAGTTCCTTAAATATATGTAATATTTTGAGAACTAGTCCCTCAAATCATTAAAATTGCTAATAGGTCCCTTGATTATTGTAAGTTGTTAAAAATTAGTCAAGTAAATCATTAACATTGCTATTAGGTCCCTCAATTCTTATAAGTTTCTTTTAAGTTAATCCCTCTTATCAAAATTGTCACTACAAGGTATAAAAGTTGGGGGATCTAATATCAATTTCAATGATTAGAGGGACTATTTTCTAAATATCAAATATGTAAGGGACTGATATCAAAAGGCCATACATAATATAAATAATTTTAGGAGTGTGTTCCCACATTTTGGTGGAGACGTTTTCTTGGAATCAGCTTTTGGAAAAGCTGGAATCAAAAACTATTACACCCCTAAATTGAATCAGAAAAAATCTAGGTTGCTTAGATTTTCATTGTTTAATTAGTATGTAACCAGTCCTTGCTCAATGTGTGTACATAAAAGTTTTAAATAAAAAAAATCTTGGGAGA